TGATCGGATTAATTCGATGAGAAAAACGAAACTTGAAAGGGCCATTAGAAGAACAGAAAGATAGAGTGCATCTTTAATCGTAATGAATGCAATCGGATGATATGCCATTGGATAGCTTTCGATTTGTTCGTAGCGTTTGCACTGAGCACAAGTTTTATAAATTGTTATTCTTTTCTCCAAAACCATTCTGATTGCCTGATCAAGTCCGTCCAGACAAAAACCCATCTCAACGCAAGAATACGCTGCCCTTTGTAAGAAAACTTTCTTGCTTTTCTCGAGGAACTTGTGATAAACCAGTAAACGTGCAGTATTGAAATAACGCTGATTGCTAGCATGAATATAAAAGTTGGCATTTTTCTTGACGTTGATCATGAAGTTGCAAAATATTCTTATGCAACTCTTAATCGCCTGTACCGTTTCAAAAAGGACGATTCTATCATCGAATAAATGGTCATGAATATAGCTGAAAAATTCCGCAGAATCAGCTGTTTTAATATTCTGTGACGAAACTGTATTATCCTTCATATTAAGAGTACAGTACGAATATTGAATGCTAACTACAGATTGAGTTGACTTGTTGAGATCATCCAAATAAAGCAAGGGTGCATCTCGAGATTGAATTGAATAGTTGGTCGTAAATGTAGAAGACAATAATTCGTAGACGTGGTAGACGGCCAAATAACAAGTGACCAAAATTGTGAACCCAAATTTTCCATCAATAAGCTGTTTTGTTATACCCTTGAAAGGCCAAGGTAAACTTTTCTTACGAACTGAATAAATGTAAACTCCGAGGGCGAACAAGAAACCAATTAAAATGTAAACATTGAGGTGGATTACTTGAAAGCTGGTCAAGATTCCGAGATATTTCGACTTAACTGAAGTTTCCGTGTAAAGGTTGACAAACCCACAGCCCTGAGTGTCAATCATTGAACTGAAACTCATGTTTTCTGGAACCAATGAAAACTGATCCATTGCCTCAGCAGGGAATGAAGCATCACTGAGGCCAGATTGAATTGACTGGAGAAAAGGTGTTGAACAAATGGCTGAATGACAAGTGTCATTCTGATCGCGGTCACCTACAATCCACTCAATTGGTACTTTTCCAAACACAATTGATCCAAAAGCTTTAAACGTATCAAATATGTCTTGATCTATTCGATCATGATAGATTAATCTCAAAGAGCCGTTGAAGGGAATATTCAATTTCATTGTTGAATACTCATTGAACTAGTTATTGAACACTAAACTGATGTAGACGA